AGGTAGTAGCCACTTGCTTGGCATCCCGTTTCTTGGTATCATGTCCAAACGTCCTTGGACAGTGGATCGATATCATGCATATGGCCATCTACCGTTTCTCAGATAGAGAATCGCCTATACCTCATGTATGTAGGCACTTAAGTACCCATGTGGATATGAAGTAGGTACTTGGTACCTATGTTTTTGGCTAGGGACGGGACGAGGTTAGGACTTCAGGGTAATTATGTATATATTCTACATTATAAAGAAGTGATATCGAACTCTGACTTGTATAAACAAATATAGATCGCAACAAGATGTACAAACTCCAACAGGCCTACATGTACCGCAATTTACGCCAAAATTACAGAGAAAGAAAAAACCCCAGATAACACCACTACCATGACAACGAGATTGATGCGCTCATTTTACGTCTAACCCATATTGCCGAATTCATGCTGAAACTGACTGCCTTTGAGACATTCGACCGGACGATTCGCAGTTTGCGCCTGTTCGCCCACTTCCACCATCTCCCCGCCTTCGACTTTGACTTCTTTATCTCTGAGTCGTCTCATAAGAGCCAGAAAATTACTCTCTTGAAATTTTTTGCTTTGATTTTGTGATAGCGTGTCGAGTAGCTGTCCGGCAGTCTTTGAAAGGTCGTCCTGATCATCGTGTTCCGCCTCTCGTTCTGCTTCAACCTCGATTTCCGCCCCCACATCTGCTCTCTCTATTGGTCCAGACTGAGCTATCGCATCAAGCTCATCATGTTGATTAAATGGATTAAATATGGCATCCAGCTCGTCATGTTCTGTCATTTCAAATTGCCATCTCTGAGCTTCTTCAAACGCTCGGTCAAAGGCTGCATCGGTTACAGCTTTCTCTTCCGCGGAAATTATTGGCTCATGATGAGCCCCAGCTGACGTGGTGTAAAACGTCTCTTGTGGAGAGTAGGATTCCTGTGAACTGTACATTGATGTCGGAGAGTGCGTTCTTAGCCCCGATGAGGAGGTTTGATGTTGCTGCTGTTGGTAGAAGTGCGATTGAGGTGCTTGTGGCATATAGCCTAGGTGAGGTTGCTGCGCGAGGAATTCGGTATGCCATGATCCCCTTGGTTCCTTGGGATGATTGAAAGCCGCTGGAATTATTGGTGCTTGTTGCAAGGTCATCCGTTGAAACTCTGCCGCCCAATTTGGTATCGGAGCCGGCTGCTGTATCTGGGGAGAGAATTGCTGTCGCGGGAGGAATTGTACATCTTGCTGTGGAAATCGGGCAGGATTCGAAAATTGCTCAAATTCATGGCCCACATTCCCAGCGGCGCCGCTTCTGAAGCTCTATTTCCATGGCGTTAGCAAGGTGCTTTGAGAGCAAGCTCCCGGTGAAATCATACGGATGATGGCCCAGCTTGGGTGCGCAGGTGGTCTTGTTGCAGCGACCTGTCTGCGGTCGTGTGCTTCTGCAGCGACGAGAGTGCGTTCGTTGGGCCACAGAGTGAAGCGCCGGAAGACATAGTTGTTGCGATAATCGATTTTCTTTTTGCCACTTTTACACTTGTGTTTTGAGAGGCCTTTCGCGCTCTCGCGCGGTGAAGTGTGGAGAGATATAGCGCCCGTCGTCCCGCAGGCCGAGGCCTCGGATATCCGAGGCTTGGGCGCATGCGGCCTGGGCCTGGAGATGAGCTAATGAGCTTGGCACGCGACGGCAGCAGCCAAGCATGTGATGCTTGGCATTGCGCATGGCCGCACTGGATCCGTGGGATGCGCCACATCATGGCTGGACTCGGGCCCGAGCCTGATCGGCCGTGCTCGAGGAGGCTGCTTCCCTGATTATTCTCGAGAGAAACGAGATGCCTCTCTCCATTCCACACGCACGTTTTTGCCAGCTTCGTGGCCCGCCTCGAGTAGATGCTCGGCTTAGAACACTCGATATCTCCTGTCAATGCCTCCAACTCACCCTGAAACCAAATCCTCGAATATCTACGGAACCATAACCACATTGGCCTTCACCCCGCTCACCCGAGTACATCGGACTCTGAGGGGTTTTCCACGTCCAGGCTCTTATAGTCACATCAAGAATAGGCACAACTCGTCACCACCTACTGGTGTCTTCCCTCACTTACTCGGAGATGGAGAATTTTCTGAGCGAATTCGATGAGTGCACCCAAGAGGACAGGGCAAAAATGCAAGCACCAATTCCCCGCATACTTCGAATAAATTGGCTTTTGTAGACTCATTGAGCTGCGCTTTCCAACTAACTAGATCAGTGAAAAAACAGCATTACCCAACTTTCCACACATTTCCGACCTTCGGAATGGTGGCTTGTTAATAAACTGTTAGTGCAACGCGGAGGACAATTCGACATCATAACCGCACTTCCACTTGAGCTTGTGGCCCAGGTGCTGCAAGATATTCCACTTCTTGAAATATTCACAAAACGGAGGGTCGGTAACTCGTGGCCCCCATAAAAATGTGAACCCAGGAGCAGTAGCAGGCTTACATGTCCGGATCATATAGGTCTCGCGAGGTTGGAATCAACTTTTGAGCTCGGAATCCGTTTGTAGAGCCCTATTCGCCAATCACTACCCAAAGAAACCCCTCAATACAGTATGGAAAGAACTATCACGTACGGACGCACTATTATACGACAAAAGCTGGAAACTACTTCTGGAAGACATCACATCAAGAAGGGAGAATTTCCACAGAGGATTGGTCTGCAAAACACTACCAAACCTAGACCTAACATTCGCCTCAGATAATCCTCATCCACTGCCTCTTGCACCCATCTGTCGAAATGGCAAGCTCGCTACATATACACAAGATCTTTGGGGCAGTACGCTTATAGCGGTATACAACGTACCGGACGATCTAAAGTGCATTTTTGCAGAGAGAGTTCCAAATCGAGAGGATTGTTTTAACATTGGGCTGACGCAAAATATGGTGTTTACCCTAACCCACGTAGGGTACGTAACTCTTTCGACTTTTACAAATAATTCATCTGTTGTGGTTTTACTGAAATTTGATTGAACAGAAACTGCCATGCATGGGATCTAGCCACCCGTGAACGCAAATCCCTACGACTAGAAGGTGCAAATGCGTCAGAACTATTTTGCTTCGACCGCTCAGTTGTTATCATATACCCTACCTATGTCATCCGCTGGGACACCAAGGACAACAAAACCTTGCGATTCAACCTGTGCGAGGATCTCCTCTCTGGCCAGCATCCCATTAAATGCTGGTCTCAAAATGATGACTTTAGCAAGATATTTTTCATACAATGTTCCGAAAGCAATGATATTCATGTCCATGCCATCGACATTTCTCCGGACTCTGATATAACGAGAACCAGATCTAAAGTGCACATCTGGAACTGGTTTCAGGCCTTGAATATCAGCTGTCCAAAGGGAATAAGCGGCTGCAGACAGTCCCTTAGATTAGATCGGCCAAGAACTGGCCATCTACATCCCCATGTAAGGAAAGAGTTATTTCAGATGGATTCCGGAACAATTGGCATACCCTTCTTAATCAGTTCTTACTGTTCCATCTGCTTAAGACGTAGATATAACATAATCGTTAAATTTTCGGCAATTGGGAATGATGGTCTCTTGACCATGGAGAAGCATCTCATTGATGGCAATCATGTCACAGAGATTTGCTATGGATCGGATGATTACGTTTTGGACAGGTGTTCAAGCCATTACAGACTCACACCTAAATATTCTCCAGAGAAGACCTATGTGTGGCCCATGGAGACGACGGAAATCGGTGACATCGAACATCCTGACCATGGTGCTAACGAAGTCAGCTATTCTTCCACGAGGAATTCAATGGACGTCAAGGGCTTTAGTGACCGATTTATCGTCCTTACAAAGACATTACATTCTAATCCACCACTGACGAGAATTGTGGTTAAGAGATTTAGGGGTATTCATGAAGAGGCAATGAAGATTCACCATGAGGAGGAATGGTATAGGACTGGCGAAGCAACCACCACTCGGGGCAAGACTGAGCAGGAGGAATGGGAAATGACGTCGTCGTTTATCCATTCGTGGCACGAGAAACGGGAACGGCAGAAGAGTACGTTTGTGGCTCGAGAACACGAACCGGCTCTTACCCCCCACAGCTAGCTCAGAATAAACCGACTCGCCAGTCAAGCAAATTTCAAGGGGGGTTTTTGTCCTCGAGTTAAGGCGGTATTGTTCCCAGAGGACAGTACAGTTTAGAGGACCTCTCTCTCCCTTGATGGTGCGGCCGAGATATCCTGTTGTACATACATACATACATACATACATACACGCCATGTGATGACGCTGAGAACATCTGTCATTTGAGGAGAGGCTTGAAGTACCTTTTAGATATTCTGAATCTACTCGATCCATCCATTTTTTTTTTTCATTTTTTTAAATTTTTTAAAAATTTGCTGCCAGCTAGCATGGCCAGGTCGAAAGCTTACGTTGGATACTTACGTTACCTTTTTTTCTTTTCTTTTCATTTTTTTTTCGAGCTCCGCTTTAAAATTTTGATCATGATTTCTCTCACACATGTACACATTTCTGGGGGGGTTTTCATTACGTATTTTCAAGTATACCAGGTCCCTCCCCACCTACTCATGATCAAGTAGGTACCTAGGTACTCAGCGTATGCTCTTAACCCAAACAATTGCAAGCTTACTGCAGCTATAAGATACATATGTATGGACCAAAAAGACTCCTAAAGCGTAGATACCTAAGTAGGTAGTCTCGTCTGAAGCTCCTTGGACCCAGGCAATTTTTTTTTTTTTATTTTTATTCAGTGTACCTCCTCCCTCCACAAGTACTGTTTTACCCAAGTCCGTACTCACCTACATGTAAAATGCCTCTTGTGTATATACTTTTCATGAATCCAGATCTGATCTAGATCTATAGCTAGGTAGATGAAAGTCTGCATCCACTACTTACCTAACCCACGTATACGTATACCCAATTAAGCCATATCCTCATGCATATGGCTGGCTAATGACACCCTAAACAGGCATGAAAATAGTACAGTCTTGTGGTCTAGTGGCTATGATTTTCGTCTCACATTTCTTGTGCTTCACGAAAGGTCCCGAGTTCGAACCTCGGCGGGACTAATTTATTTTGTAGCTTTTGTGAATTTTGCATTTTGAGTTCCTAAATTTTTTTTAAAGTTCAGCTATGTTATATATATGTATCTAGCTTTGGCCAGTTTAAATTTCGTGAACATAATTGGAATCGGCAAGTGATGATGAACAACTTTTGGAAATTTGGGCGGGAAGGGGGGGAGGTTTCTAAAACTTTTTAGGAATGTTTTTAATTAAGGTATTCATGATCATGAGAATATGGCACATTTATAGCCTACGAGAATAATTACAACATGAGGCCCAACTTCATGATCAATCTGGGCCTTCACAATGCATATGCAGGTTATCAGCGCTGCTAGCCTGTTCTCGTGCCGGGCCAACTTGCAAGTAAATTTGAGAAATGCTAATTAAAATTTATATTTATTTTTTTTAATATAGGAAAAATCATTATTTATTTACAATTTCATTTATTTTACTTTCGATCAGACAAAGAAGGGTATGAACACAACCCACTTCATATCAGCAAGCCCAACTGCTCAATCTGGTGCTCCACAGACAGCAGACTAACATCCGCACTCGTCTTCCTGCCCTCCAATATCTCCGCCATCACCAGCCCGGACCCGGGCCCAAGGGCGACTCCCCACGAGCCATGCCCGACACAGGTATACACCCCCGGCAACCCCCCCGGTGATGGTGATGATGACGGCGACGACCGCGATGTCGACGAGCTCGCACTGATATCGCTCGAGTTGCTACTCCTCCTCGACGACGCGGGCCCGATGGACGACGCCAGGCCGAGCTGCTCGTCGGGGATGCGTCCCATCATTGGTTTGCCGTCCGGCAGGACGGGGCGGTGGCAGCAGCCCGTCTTTACAATCTCCAAGTTTTCGGGCCGCAGCATGCGCTCGCCGACTTTATGTAGGCGGACGATTGCGGGGTGGTCGAGCGGCGGGTGTGCGTCCTCCGTGGCCAGGTCCGGGACGGGGATGTTGGGGCTGTTGAGGCCGGCAAGGTAGATGTCGTTTGTGGGGAGCCTCGAGAAGATTTCCGGCGAGAAGTGCTCGTCCTCGTCGGTCGTGAAGATTGCGTGGCAGGGGGGGTTTTCGCTCGCGGCCTCGGCCGCCGTGGGCGGGGTTTTGCGCTGATACACGATCGAGTGGCCCGCGAGGGATGTGACTTTCAGCACCGGGAGGGCCGGGTTTGCGTTGGGGAAGAGGGTGTGTATGACCCGCGGTGTCCAGACACCGGATGAGATGAGCACCTGGCTGCACGGGAGGTTCAGGCCGCCCGAGGTCTGTATGCCCGCGAGGGCGCCCGTGACCGGGCTGACGAGGACTGCCGTCGCGGTGGTGTTGAGGTGGAGGTGCACCCCGCGGGCGATGCACTCCCCCATCAGGAAGTTGCAGAACTTGAGCGGGTGGATCTGCGAGGTCGAGTCGGGCCGCGAGATGACCTCGACCTGCGGGTGGCCGGACAGCTGCAGCCACGGCGGCATGTCTGCGGCGGCCGTGCCCTCCAGGGCCACCGACGGCTCCGACGGCGCGGGCGTCACGGCGGCCTCAGCCCTGCTGGTGCCCTGGAACAGCCACGACTCCCACCGCTCGTCCTCCTTGCTGCTGTGCAGCTCTGCGACGATTCCGGGCGTGATCAGGCTGACGCCGATGCTGCCGGCGTAGCCCCACTTCTCGCGGCCGCCATGCTTCTCGGCAAGCTCCTTGTGTACGCTGAAAGACAGGGCGCCGAGGTCTGCAACAGAGGACGAAAACCAGTCCTTCGCAATGAATCCAGCCCCTCGGGACGATCCCGAGGGGAATAGTGCGCTAGCTGCCTCGATGATGTGTATCTCCCGAGTCGGATGCAGCAGCGAAAGAAAGTAGGCTGTGGATGTGCCCACGATGCCTCCTCCAATGATAACGAGGGGGTTTTTGGATGTAGGCATTGTTTATGTGGCGTCAAGTCGTAGCTGTAAAATGCGTATGTGTGGTTTCCAAGAACGAATGGACAGTGCTCGAAACGAATGTGCGTATGGTATAATAAAGGCAGTATCTCGTTCACGGGGGTATATTGATAGGCTCCAGAATGACCATTAAAGAAAGAAGCTGTATTTCTGTTGAATAGTTGACTATTTGATGGTGGGGGGGAGGGCTCCGCTGGATATATAGCCATCTCGCCCCCCTCCGCCCTGGGGCCATGCCTGCTGTGTTTCTTTCCACATCATATTTTGCCCCAATGTCCACGGCCCTAAATATGATCTTCCCCGCAGATGGAGAATGGACCGGTGGGGATCCACTGTAGAGAGGGCTTGAGAGGCATGTAGCCATGGGTTTCCCCGTACCAAACACCAGTCGGTTAACAGCTGAGGGCGGGACGGAGGACATACCAGCGATACTCTAGTCCGAAAAGCTAAAAGGCTAGGGGCGCAAGGCTAATGGGTTGTTAGCGATATGCAAGCCATGGGAATCGCTCCAAGCAAGGGTAACAGGCCAGGGGGGAGGAGGGTCTGGAGATCCCCAGGGTACCTACCTGGCCTCCAATCGGTGCCCACGACGAGGGTAGCGTTTAGTTCGTCGAGATGCCATACCGGCGGGGTGTGAGGAACGAGGAGCCAATCGTGGGGCGGAGAGGAAGCTCAAGTGTCACGCTCGCTGTGACAGAACCTCCCCGGGCCCCCAGCCGGGCCAATGGCGGCCCATGGACGGCTCCACCAGCAGAGGCAGAGCGGGGGACTCCTTGCGGCACCAGAGCAGTCTGAGAGGAGGAGGGGAGATCTCGAGACCGAGGGGGTCTGAGGGGAAGCCCTGCAACCAGCGGGATACTCGAGCAGAGCATCTGTTACTGTCGGGCTCCGCTGGAGGTCTGTCTCGCCCGAGAAGACAGATAGGTATCTGGGCTTTCTTCCTCCCGAGACGAGGCATTTCTGGTGCCGTCGATGGGCCAGACAGATCGATCTATTCTCTCTCCACCCTGCCGCAGGTGCAGGCTGGGCATGCGGGATAGGCTTACCCCACCACAGCCCATTCCCGGGCACCACGAAAGCTTTTTTTTTTTTTTTTTCGTCCCAGGGAATGCACCCATGCGCATACACATGGATACAAACTCGCCGGTGGGGTGGGGTGTGAGTGGGGAGGGCAGGCCAGGCCAGGCTGAGATGTCGATAAAGAGGCCCGCGTTGGGTAAAGTGAAGAGAGAGCTTCACATGCCTGGCACGCTCTGCCCAGCGCTGTGACTGCAATTGTCGCCTTCCAGGGCTCATAAACATACTCCCGGGGTGTCCGTGTGACCCTTGTGGCTTGAAGGAGTTGGTCTTGTGGATATTAACCAGAAGCTGCTAGGAAGACACATCTTGCAGAGTGCGATGTATTCAGAGCAAGTGGGCTAGGCAGCTCCTTTCCAGTTAGCCTCACGCCCTATCCTGTGGCGAAGCTTGTGAGGGAAAATGTTGAGCTTGAGCTGGTAGCTAGCTTTGCCTCCAGGGAGCTTGAGTGAGTTTGCTGCCCATTGGCCCGGGGTTCAAGGGTTGGAGCATTCAGAATGCCAAAAGGGTTGAATTGTGCATATGTCCGGGTTGTACTTGAGATGGAGATGGACATCGATCGGAGTTGCAGAATGCGATAGGTTGCATTTTCGCATAGTTAGACCGGGGTTCGATTGGATGAATGCCTTTGTCTCTTCAGTTTTGTTCCAGGCCTCGATGTCTCTCACGTCTGTTTCTCAGTCCACTCCGCTGACGCCACGCCCACGCTCCTCACTCGGGGATTTGCAAAAACATGGCCGAATACCTCTAGCTCCGCGCCCGTAACCTTTCCTCCTTGTGGACGAGAACCATGAGCCAATGAGGGTGCAGAATTGCTTGGCTAGACTGGAAAATCACAAGATGCCGGTCACTGTTGGAAAAAAATAACCCGCTACATGTCGGGACCCATGGCCATTGCGATAAGGAATGCTTGATTTTTCACGTTTTCTAGTGGGACATCAGACCAGCCGAACTAAGCATGCAAGTGTCGCAAATTCACTTGGAAAAACGAGTTATTTGTTTGTGTGATGAGGAATTGTATTTTATATAGCGCGATTCTTTCTCTCTTTCCGACCAAGTCTGTCGAACAAACGATGGCCCTGTCATTCCCAGTAGTAAAGTCTTATTGACAAGAAAGCTATAAACCTATTCTCCAGTAAAAACATCTGTTAGCCATGCAAGCTATATCTACTTCGGAGAAGAAAGCAATGTGATATAAAGTAATAAAACAAAATGCCAAATTGTGAATAAGAAAAGCTTCAGTTGAAAGATGAAAAGAATATGGTTGTTCTTCAGATGGGCCGCATTAATCGACCCTCGGTATTAGCATGGATATTGTTACATCACAAGCTTTTCTTTTGGTTTTTTTTCCATGCACTTTTTGATTCGTACTAGCAATAGTGTACAAAAAGTTTGCAAACAAAAAACAAAAACAAAATTAAAAGCTTACCATTTGCGGTATGAATCGAAGCCGAAGAACTGAAGTACGAGACTAGAGAACTGGTAGATTGGTTTGTATCCTGTCATGATCTTTTAAAGACAAGTTAGCTTAAAATGTCCTCAATTGCTTTTCTTGTGTATATAGCGAGTATAGAGGGTAGAAAAGATATCAAATCAGATAACTCCGTTTGGCTAGGATGGTCAATCACCACGTCGAGGAAACCCTTTTGAGGAGACCTGGATTTAAGATAGGGGCGACACGAGTGTTCATCATGATATGGGATTGCGAAGGGGCAAGTAGTGCAGAGAAAAGAAGAAATGCTTACCAGTTAATCAGGCCCTGTCTCCACACCCCCGCCGTGGAGACAGTAGCCATCGTTGTTTTTGTTTTTCCAAACCCGTGCTCAAACCTCCATCCCAATCAACCCAGAAGAGAGATCATGGGAGTGAGTGAGCAACGGGCGATGGGTGTTGGTGATGTTTTGTTGACGAGTTGCTGCAGTGGTGGTTGTTCACATCCTGAGTGTGTGTGTGTGTGATGTAGAGTGAAGAAACGAATCTACACCACTGAGAATTC